GTATTTACCTTAAAATACATAATAATGAAATTTTTATATATTTTTAAGTGGCATTGTGACCTCTTTTCCACAGTCTCTTTCTTGACAGTTTTTTTGATTTCAAGGTTTCTACAATTACAGTAACTGCTGATTCATTAACTTTCAATATTGAGATACCATTTCGATTTTAAGTCATCATCATTTTAGGTTTGAATGTGTCATAAATTTTGTACAAAGTTTACAGAAGGGACAATAATTTTACAGACAATACTTGTTAATTTAATGTTTCTTTAACTGGGAAGAATGTGTCTTTCTAATGGTAAAAATCTAACTAAAAGAACTGTGCTATCTTTGCCAATTTCATTATGTAGTTTAACCTAGAAGTTCTTAAATATAACATAGATAAATAAAATTCCATAGAAATCCAATAAAAAAAAAAAAAGGGAAAATGGTGGTTGCACCATCAGTTGGGGATTTTTGTGGAAGCAACAAAAGCAGTTTTGCTGGTTGATGAAACAGAAGTGGGTTTTATTAAAATCCATCTTGAAAGTTCACAAAATACTGGAAGGATTAGAGGATAAAAATCACACAGGAGAACAGGCCTAATGAGGGAGGCCCTGCTGCTCCCGCACCTGGGCGCTGTGGAAAACCACCACTGTCTTGACATCACGGGTGCCAGTGTTGAGCTAGGATCATGACTTTGCAACCTCATCTACCCATGAAAGATGGATGTTTTTGTTTCCAAACCCAATGACAAAGTAAATTCTGCACTGTTATCCTTCACCGGGCTGTTCATTTCTAAATCACCGCCTTGCCTGGAGAGTCTGATTGAACTTAAATTTCCTTCACTTATTTATTCAGTTTTTGCAACAATGTAGGTGCATACTATGTGCCAGATACCATGTTGAACTCTAGAGAATCAACCAACAAATAAATTCCCTGTCCCCATGGAGTCTATATTTTTGGAGGTGTGGTGAGGGAGAAGGATAATAAAAAAAAGGGTTAAATAAATGTATCATAAGAAGATGACAGTAAGTGCTATGCACAAAATAAAACAGGAAATGAGACATGCAGGGAGGCTGGGAGGGTTGCTAATTTTATAGAGAGTAGTCAGGGAAGACATCACCTCTAAGGTGAAATAATATGAAGGAAGTGAAAGAGCAAGCCAGATGAAGCTGTGGGGACAGAACCTACCAGGCAGAAAGAACAGCACATGCAAAGGCCCTCTCATGGAAATGTAACTGCTGTGTCCAAGTATTAGCAAGGACACTATGCAGCTCCAGTGTGGCTAGAGCAGGGAGAACAAAAGCAAGAGTGATAGGAGATGAAGTTGAAGACATGGAGAGAGAAGGGGGAAGTTATATCATATAGGACTTTGCAAATCATTGACTTTGGTTTTGACTAAAGGGGAGATGGAGAGCCATTCCACTGCAGAGTATTGAGGGAAATGAGTCAGTTCTGACTGTTATTTTCATAGAATTATCTGAACTTTAATTTAACAAGGCAAGGATAGAAGCCAGGCAGCTATTGCAATAATCCGAGTGAGACATGGGAGATGATGGTGTTTTGATTGCAGCAATAGTGGTAACAGAGACAGTGAAAAGTGATAGGCTCTGGATGTATTTGGAAGGTATTGACCTCACTGCACAGGGCTGTGTGTGTCTGGGTGGTGGGAGAAAAGCTGGAGAGAGGGGGGAGGGCCAAATCCTCTGTGTGCCAAGCCAAGGGGTTTGGATTTCATCCTCAGGCAAGAGATTGCCACTTATTAATTTTAAGCTCACAAGTCATATATCATACTTTATTTTAGAAAGGTGATTTGGTGGCAGAATTGAAGGGACCCTGCTGGAGGCAATGAGACCTGCTAGCATATGCCTGTCAATATCCAGACAAGAATTTAACAGAAACAATGGCTACCTAGCTAATGCAGTGGAGAGGGGAAAATGTCATATATTAGTTTTCTATTGTTGTGTAACAAATTACCATGAACTTAGTGGTTTAAAAGGACATGCATCTATCATTTCACTCTCTATGGGTCCAGAGTCCAGCCATCGCTTAGACGGGTCCTCTGCTCAGGATGCCACAGGGTGTTGGCTGGGCTATGTTCTTATCTGGAGGTTCAACTAAGGAAAGAATTCTTTCCCAAAGACATTCAGGCTTTTGGAAGAATTCATTTCCTTCTATCTGCAGGACGGAAGGCCCTGAGCCCTTGCTGGCCGTTAGCTGGAGGCTGCCTTATGCAATTCCGTGTTGTGCAGGCTTCCTCAGCATGGCCAAGTGTCTCCTCAGAACACCGAGGAGAATCTCTAGAGTGAGTCTGTCAGCAAAATGGAGACTTATATACCGTAAGGTAATCATGGGATAACATTCTGTCATCTTTGTCGTATCCTATTTGGTAGAAGCAAGTTACATATCCTACCCATGTGGAAGTGGAGAAAACTCCAAGGCTTGAACACAGAAAACAGATCTTTGAGAGTCACCTTGGGATCAACCCACAACAGATTATAAATAATGCTGAGGAAACAGAATGTACAGAACCGAGGATCTGATGGGATCATTGGCCGTGAGTGGGAAAAGGATAGAGAAGAATATAGGTGATGCCCAACCTTCAGTTTGTGTGCTTGGCACACGGTGAAGGCCTTCATCAAGATAAGAAACACAGAAGGAGAAACTAATTCTGGAGAATAATGAGTCCTCTATACTTTGGGAGTAAAATATATTACTTTTAATATCTTGTTTTTTAGCAAAGTATTCTTTATACTAATGAAATGAACTGAATACACCGTCGCCACAGGTCTCCATTCCCTGGTTCTTAAAAAAAACTTCAGTCTTGCAGTTCAAGCCACATACTGTTTTGCTGACCTAAAAAGGAGTTCCTGGAAAGGTCTGAGCTTTTCTGTGCCTATAATAGACACTTGAAAAGCTAGGAGGCTGAACACAGAAATGGTGTACCTGAAGGAGCGTCACTGGTTTCAGGTAAGAAAAATTATTTATAGAAAAGGCAGTCATCGAGGAATTTTCTGTTGATATATAATTTACCCACTTAAAACTGTTTTAGAATTTAAATGTTTTCTGTAAAGGAAGCAGGTAAGTCTGACTTTGTGGTTACAGAGACTGATCTTTATTTCAAGTTTACCAAGGCAGACAGGTGGAGTGGTGGGAGTTGTGCAGGACTGGAAGGGGATAAAAAATAAAGATAGAGCAATATTCTGTGAAACTAATTATTCAAAGAAATTTATGGATGTTGTACACGGGTGGATGGATTCCACTATCAGGTTTGTTGAGGCCAAACAGTGTGTGGCTAAGAACCACCAGACAAGTTAAGTGGTGAAAGTGAAAGTATTTGCAGAAATGGAAGTGAACGTATAGTTGGTTAAGAAGAATTAATTTGGAAAGTCCCACTTTTAGTTACCTTGAATGACTACATTTTTTCCAAGACCTTTCCCACCTCTACCGGCTGTCTGTGGAAGCCTGTGGTTGTCATGACAAGGGTTTATTTGTCATAGTTGGTTCCTAATGAGTCTCTGGTACACTTCTGTTACAAGGAGCAGACCCAGAAGAGCCTTCCCACAAATCTGGGATTAGCTGATTCTGTCAGGTGGAACATTTTCAATAGCAAATGGCAGAAAACCCAACCTAAAATCATTTAAGCTATTAAAGAATTGGTTTACAGCAAAGGATGGATCTTGTCAGCTTCAGGCACAGCTGGCTTAAGGAGCCCAAATGAAGTCCCTAAAATTTGGTTTCTTGGTGGCAAGATGTCAAGAGCAACCACATCTTATATATTCTTGTTATCAAGTCCAGCAATAGAGACTTTGTCCCCCCAAACCACCAAACATTCATCTCTGTCCTGATTGTCACTGGCCTGGAAGGGGTCACACACTTCCCCTAGACTAATCTCTATGGAAGGAGAATGTAATTCCTCTGAATGGCTAAGACCCCACCTGTTTATCCAAGTCAACTAGTTTGCCCATAGAGCATTATTTCCCAAGGGAAATTTGGTATGGTTTTTACCAAAAGTAGACTAAGTGGATGTTAAGTGGTAAACACAAGGGTAAGTCCTCCTCACCCCATGAATATGCCTTTCAATTGAACCAGCAGTTTATTTACATGGCAGCATAATTGCCAGTGACATGGAAATATTGATATTTCCAGTTGTACCCCTTACACCTCATTCTCCCCCACTGCATTGCCCCAACACACTTCTATACTTAGTTTGACTGAAAGCTAGTTAGAGGAGACTCAGAAATATCCTACTGCTTTATGTGTAGGCAAAACCTCAGATCAATAATGGGAAAAACCCATATCATACACAAAAAGAGGAGAGAAGAGCCTCCAGATATAAAATCCACTGAATGCCACAAATTAATTTATGCACATTAGAGGCTTGGGGAACATTCTCCTTGAAAGAGAGAGAGAGATGTAAGGAGATGCAGGACTGCTTGTAAGGGGTCCCTGGTGTATTAGGCCGGAGAAGCGGAGTTCTATATTTGGATGGTAAAAGGAAGTGAACTGGCAGTTTGGATGGGCCCAGGAGGGAAGAGTGCTGGCTCAGAAAATCCCTTGTGCTAGTAAGCGTGCTCCGTTCAGTTGTTCCGGATTTCACTAGTGATACCAATAACGTAGTTAGATTTTTTTTTTGCTCCTTTAGATTAGCTGTTTTGCATTTCTTATAGTATTTCTCTTACGTTATATTTGACTTAAATACTATCTCATTACATTGCTTTCCTCTCTCCATCCCTCCCCAGGCCTTCTCACTGATGCCTGACGGATAAAAGGAGCCACATCTGATATTAATCTGAAACTTCCTTGATTCCTTAAAGTGAGTTATTCATTAATAGAATCTAAATTACTGGTTGTTAGGCAAATCTTCTAATTCTTTCAAACCACTGATCTGCTCAGAGAAGCTTCTGTGAATCCACTGTAGAAATCAGTGAGCTCTGTGCCAATTATTAGCTCTAAGCACAAGTCTGAGAAAGGGAGGCGAAGTTACTCATTTGCCTGATTGCACACAGTGAGTCCAGGGGAGGGAATCAAGTGAACTGCAGGCTTGACAAACAGCACCGGGAAGCACGGCGGCTGCCAATGGGACAGGACAGGACTGGATGGGAAGGGGTTACCGAGCGGCCTCTGAGTATGGCCAGGGGTTTCTGAATTGCTCCAAAAATCAAGCATTTTGCCTTTACTTTTTATAGAAGGCCAGAGTTTCCTGTGGTAAGAGGTAAGGCTATCTTCTTTCCTGTCTTTTTGTTCAGCAAAAACAAAAGCTAATTAAAGTAAATGTCAGAAGCTTCAGGGGTGTAAAAGTGGGTTGTGGGAGTGGGGCAGAGAAACTTCCAGGGGCGGCTGCTTATGCAGATTCAGTGCATTTGGTACTTGTGTTTCAGGCCACGTATGCATGCTTTTTGGTTATTAGGGTAAAAAAGCCACTGCTCTGTGGGTTATTAATGTCATATCTCTAGGCCTCAGGAGCAGAAAACTGTGCTTCTAGATTCATAATATGTGCACTTTTGTCTTAACCATAATAGTCTAGACTCATTTCTATTTCATGCTTTTGCTTGCCTCAAGAAGCATTGTGCTACCAGCCAAGACACTGGCCCTGCATTTTATTTTCAATGAAAATTCAGCAGCATCATTACTGTCACAGGGTCACATAGTCTCCATTACTGTTTTGTTGCTGTCATTTTTTCCTTTGATAATTCAAATATCTTATAAATCAGAACTGAATCTAGCCACTTTTTTGTTCTTTCAAGGGCATATTTAAATTGCTATTGTAATCAACCATAAGATTCCATTACATTTGTATATGTTTTCAATTGAAAGAATAGAAAAAAATGTTTAAGCATTATTCAGATTGGTCATACAATCCCAGATGTTAAAGTTGTTTACTATATGGGATTTAAGTGTAAATAAAGATACATTCAACATTGAATTTTACTTGTAATTTGAGCATTTGGCTAGGTATTTGTAAAAACAAACCTACAGAATTCAAATTAAAATTTTTAAAGCTACATTTTTATCAATTTCAGAGCAAATATGACTTGCAGAGTTGAAATTTATAGGTGAAAATGGTTACACTAGGAAATCATTATGCAGATCATGAGCTCCTCATTTAGTTTGCTATACTTGAAGATGTTTCCCCATTCCTGATGAAGGAAAATGTTTCCTACCTATTTATGTTTCAATAAGTTGCAATACATATACAAAATTAAATATGTTTTTGAGTTCTTGCCTAACAGGTCACCAAACCTATTTTTTGTGTGTGTTTATGACATAAGCCTGCTACAAACGTGGATATATGAATTATAGCAAAAAGACCAAATGCTGACTTGTTTAGCATCATTTAGAATAACAACCTCAGAGGCTTTCGGTCCAAGTGAAGCATAGGAACATGTCATGGCAGAGGAAACTGAGAGACGACCAGGGTACAATTGACATCTTGTGGGAAGTGCTGAAATGTATGCAGCCAATTCCTATGGGAATGCCTGTAGTTCTTTCACACTGTGTGAGAAAAGATGCTCCTTGAAAAGAATCTGTAATCCTTTCTTTCAAGGGAAAATCTGAGAACTTTACTAAAAGTTTCTAGAACCCAAATGGGTCTAAGTCAGTAGGCATTTTGAATACAGGTGAATTAAATGAGAATTTTTTTTAGGCACAACTGTGCTGCTCAAAGTATAATATTGCTATTCTAGAATTTTCTGAAGTGAAGAAACCAGAGAATATCCTAACTCAGAGTTCGAAGCTGGAGGCTAATTTTCTCAATATAAATTGCTTTTTTGAGTTAATTATGTTTATTGAAATCCCCCAGAGAGCTTTTATTTTTTACACAGGTGGTATCCTAATAGTGGGGAAATAAAGTCCTCCAGGTCACGTGTATTTTCATTTAGCAGAATCTATTGATGTACAATAGAATAAATGAGCAAAGTTTTATTAGCACCTATTAAGTGTTGTAGGTCACCTTGAAAAGTAGTAAAGAACTTTTCCTGCTGGTGCTATGGAGGGAATTACACACTCCCTCCTCACTAATAAACATGGGAGTGAACACTATACTTATTTAAAACACAGGTATTTACATTACCCAGCTGCAAAAAGTGTGAATTACACTACATTTCAGTCCATTTCCCCTCTGTAAAAAAAAAATTCACTGTTACTGTTTAGCCATGGTGAGGTAGAATCCCAGGAAGGCTATCTTGCTGGGGAGCAAGATAAGCTTGCCAAAAAACAATAGGGATACATTCAAGATAGTGCCTGACCTACCCAGATTTAAGATTAGGGTGAGTACAACCAGGGTATAAATATGACACAAATGGAAAAGGCCTAGACATCTTGAACACTGAACCCAATGTTAGGGAGCGGTACAGTAATGTATTAGCTTGTAAAAGAGATGTCATGGGGATGTGTTAAGTGAATGACCTATAAGAATAATGACATTAGTAAGGATATGATTGCTGTCACTTCTGTGATTGTTACATGCCAGGTCCTGTGCTGAGTGCTTTACATAATCTCACGAAACCTCCCAACAGCTCATACCACAATCCGCAGGTTTGTGGTAACAGGCAACCTGAGGCTCAGGGAGGCTAACTAACCTTCCCAGGTTTATGCTACAGGTAACACCGGGGCTGAGCCCAGTTGGGTCCAGGTTCCCATACCATTACCACTCTGCTCTTCTTCCTAGATTACCAATTCTGGACCCCACACTTCTTTAAACATGTAAGAAAATTGGGTAAAACTTAGTAATAACAGCTATTAATAATGAACAGAGGGTGAAAATGAGGGAAGGCTAAAGATATATAGTCTATTCCTTTAAAAGAGGAAAATTTATCACTAACTGTAAGCTGGAAAATTACTAATGAAAGGATGCACCTTCTCGTGCATGACTGGATTCTGTTTTTATAACAGAAACTTTTCAAGGGGACAGTTCTCCACATGCGGATGGCCCAGAAATATGACTGATCACCAAGTGTCTAGGAAGATTTATGAGGTCATTCTCCCGAGCAGATGACCTGGTTCAATGGCACATGTGTGGCCACTCTGACCACAGACCTTTGTAGGGTAGCTGTCCTGGGGGACGTTCACAATGGCCAGATCTTAATGATCACACAGATGAGCTTACCTGCAGCACGGCTTCCCAAACACTTTGCCTGAAGATTGGTGATCTAATAGGCAGTAGGTAATGATCGCAGCAAAGAAATTAGGGGTAAAGAAGAATACAGTTTAAAAACATGTGTTACCTGTTGAAAAAAACAGGAGAGTTTCAGTACCCGTTTCTTCTCTGGAATGTCGATAAAGCAGGACAAACACTTTTCTCTGAGTATTGCTGCAATATTTAAAGTACAAAGCTTTATATCCGGGCTCAGCAGATTTTTATGAAGAACCTCCCAGCAAATAAAGTGGAAAAGAAGAGCGTATACTTTTTTGTTAAGTAAGTTTGTTTCATTTAAACAACTTCCTGCATCATGAAACTTTCAACAATATTAATTTAGAGGCAGAGTGAGAGGATCACTTCGTTAGGAGCTGTGACTTCCCCGACAAACGCTCAGTGTTTCCGACCATGTGTGTGAACTGCAGAAGGAGGCAGATGTTCGCAAAGCTGCAGTTTTTTCTTCCACTGGCTTTGTGAAATGGCTCCCAGTAGCCATTTCCATTCACCTGCTTGAGGACCTGTTGAAACTGTTTCCCGTGTGGCTTTTTTTTTCTTGTGCATTCTTCCCAGGGAAAGTATAGATTTTCGCGAACACAGGGAGTTTTGTTTTCTCTGTCAAAAACAACTCTCCTTTACTGGAGCAAGCTTTCTGTTTCACCCCAGCAAACAGAGCATTGCACTCAGGGGTGACTCTGCACTGGGCGAGGTGCAGCCTGTCACCTGACCGGCTCTGCTCGACGACCACCGTAGTCCGGCGTAAGGCACTTAAGAAGGTGGGGCGACTGCAATGAACAACTTCAGGTTCACTGAGCTGAGTGGATTCCACTCGCTGTGCCCTCGGAGTCAGCTGCCCAAATCTCCCACCCAGTCGCAACACAGACAGCTGAGTAACAGCAGGCGCGCCTTTAGGAGTAGCACGCAGGTAAAGCGAATTTGGGGGGCAGAGCGGGGACTTGCTGAAATGGGTCGGGCTTGGTGTGGAATCATTTCTCTTTAGTAGTGTCTGTTTCTTTTTACAGAAACCTGACTTGTCAACCAACTCCTGCGTAAAAATATTTCTACTAAATAATGAAACCTTCATAAGATTGTATATCAATAATACCTTAATATAACATTTAAAATACATATGTATTCTAAATAATGATAACGGAGGCTTCAGATTAGAGGCTCTTAAGGATTAGGAAGTAAAATCATGAGAATGAAAGTTGGAAATAAGAAGAAATATTATAAACAGGTTTTGAAATTCAAAAAGCACAAGATTTGGAGGCTGACCTACTTGTATGGGAATCTTGGCCCTGTGTAACCTTGGGCACGATACTTAACCTCACCAGTTCTGTTTCCTCTTTGGTAATAATATCTACCAACAGGGTTAATAGAAGAAGTAAGAGAAGAAAATGTCTAGCAAGTAATAGCTCGGTGCAGACAACATATCCAAGGTGTGCACATATGTGCTTGTGTGTGCATATGTGTGTGCCCGTGTGTGAAGAGTGGATGCCTCTGCATATATATTGAGGCCACAGGACTATGACATTCCTAAGAGCAGGGAGTTTCTTGGAAGATGAAGTTGAATTTGATCTGGCTCTGACCTTCTCTGCTGTTTCAAAGAAACCAGCAGGAGAAGCCAGACACCTGAGTGAAACAATGACCAGAGCTGCTGAAAAATAAATAACATCACAGATCCTTATCCAGGAAAGGGCAGTATAGTGTAGCATGTGGGGTGCTCTTTAAATGAGGACTGATGGGAAGTGCGGCAGCTCAGTAATTATCACACACAATCATGTATACAACTACACACAGTGTCCTGGCAGGCCAACCAACCGCCTTCGATCCTGACTCCACACCTTATTCTCCTAGTGCCCCTGGGCTCTTAACTTTCCTTTCTAAACATCATGTTATCATCGTATGGAATCGTCACTGAGAATTAAGTCACTCAGTCTTTGGGAGTAGTGCCTGACACATGATAAGCAAACAGTAAACATCAGCTGTTGGTGTCATTATTTTACTAAGGACGCTTCAACGTGTTAGCTTTAATCTTCAAAAGAACCATATGAGATAGACTATTCATACATTAGCCCCATTTTTCAGATGAAGAGACTGAGGCTCAGGAAAAGGAAAAACATGAGCCAAAGGACCCTGTCTTGCCAATGGGTTTCAGCCCCAGGAAAGTTCACTGTGGATTCAGTGTGACCAAAGGAATGACAGGAGAACGTTCTTGGAGTGAAAGGGTTATACCCAACTTTATTATTTCTGCAGTGGCAGGTCAATCACTAGAATCCCGTTAACTCAGAGCGAGTCTGGATGCAGCAAGCCCATCTCTGCCTCTGGGCCCCTCTGCCCGCATAGCTTCCTTGGCGCTGCCACCACTCCAGCCTCTGCTCTGCCCTCCTGCAACCTTGCAGCTGTGCCACCGTGTCTCCCAGATCACTGGACAGGGCTCTTTATACAGAGTCAATAACGATGCATTGCCCACACTGGTGTAGTGAGCTAGCCACCCAGGGCCAGGTGAGAATCCTGGCCACAGGAACCTTCACTTTATCCACAGTCTAGCACATAGACAAGCATATTGTAAGCAATGGATGTCATTTTTCTAAAGCTGGTAGATTATGCAAAAGTTTCACATAGGCAATAATATCCTTGAAATCCCTTCAGTGGCCTACAAACTGCACCATTTAGAACACTCCTGATAGCATATTTAATCTGATGCCTGGGGAAAGATTTGGCTTGTGCTTAGGGATCATACTGTCTGGAGAAGAGCCTCTTTAAAACTGCACTCCTCACAGAGAGGTTCTCCCACAGTGATAGCTCAGAGGGGAGTTCTGAGACCATCCAGGAGAGCAGACTCCCCTCTCCCTTTTCACACTCATTCTGGGGAGTACATTCGGAATGAAATGCTGGGCAGAATCACCTATTGCTTTTATTAAATAAATCGCTCTCTGCCCTCACTCTCTGGGGATGCGGCTGCATTTGTAAGGCCCTGCATGTGCTAGAGGACTCCACTCCACCGTAAGCTGTGGGGGAAGCCCACTGGCTGAAATAGAACAGCTCTGCCCCAGTTATCAGGGGGCCTTGGGGGAGTCAATAAGCCTCACTGGCCATTAAATGATAGCCAAGGTCATTGCCAGTGAGATGGTCTGCGATTGTACTAGGCCCAGAAGGGAGCTGATAAGAACAATCAGGTATTTAATTTGTGCCATTGTCATACTATCTGTGGGCTGTTAATTAAGACAAATCACAGTGGGACTTAATTATTACAACTGTGGGGACGGAAGGATTGCTTGATCCCAAAGCCCTTCTTCTTCAGCCTGCACTGCTATCACCTTCATGCTAAGTGTTCAAGTTCATAGGCCCGTTCTGCAGAGCTTTATCTAGCCTTGTACTCATAGGCAGAGTCCTTTATTTAATCGCTACTTCCTTAGAGAATACTCAGGAATAAGGAAAGTACTTTCTAGACTGAGGGTAGGGGAACTTTTGTTGTCAATATAGAAAAGAAGCCCAGCCAAGAATGTGAGCACTGGTTTCCATGTGCAGAAGAAAAAAAGAGGAAACCAGGTGGTGGGTCTGAGAGATGCTTTCTGTGTTCTCTCCCACCTGGCATCACCCATTCCTGTTTGGTTTCCATGGGATCTGTGAGGGGGATCCCATCAGGCAAGTGTGGGGCATTTGGGGTGCTTGTCCGCTGTCTCCTTGTGGCACAGAGAGAACAAAAAGGGTACAGAAAGGAGAAAACTTAAGCATGGGGTTTAAGCTGTTTTTAAGATTCATAATAAGTTCTGGAGAAACCTGATAACTTTTGACAAGACTTTTTGAAACAAAAATAGAGAAAGGATTCATTTGAAGATCAAGCCAGAATCCACTCCTCTCTGCACATTTCCGAGTGTCTCTTTCTCCCCTCCCCTGGGCACCAAGTTCATGCTCTGAGCTGATGCCATTCTACGAATGCTGTATAGTGTCATTTGTTTCTCTTGCAGAGAGTGTCAAAGAAGACCTCACAGTCTGGAGAAAAATGACCTTTCAAGGAATGCGAAATATACCTCCTGCTGCATGTTTTTGCCTTACTAAACTCTGATAACTGAAACATATGGCTCTGGGCCTACAGAAAGCCAACTGAGTATTAAACTCCTCATCATGCATCAGCTGTTCAGATTGGTCTTGGGACAAAAAGATCTTTCCCGAGCTGGGGACCTCTTCTCCTTAGATGGCTCTGAGATTGAAGACAGTCTGACGGAAGCGCTGGAGCAAATTAAAATAATTAGCTCATCTTCAGTAAGTAAACTAGTTTTGAGACTAGACCCCTGAAATGACCTATTCCAGAGCCAAATGATTGCACATACCCTGGGGGACAGGATCTTTCTCGGGAAAGAGAAAAGACCACTAAGAAGGGTTTCTCTTAACTCTGCTCTGTGGTTTAGTTTGGTGTCTAAGACATAACATCAGAGAAGTCATTGACTTAGGCCAGCAAGGGTGCCTCTTCCCTACCTGCAGAGCCCAGAACTCTTTAAACTGTAGACCTGAGTGGAATTCTCACAACAGCCTTCTAAGGGGTGTTTCTGCATCCTTGAGCTGACATGGTGAGGAGTGGGAGCAAATCCCCAGAAAAGCAGACCTGCAAGGCTGCACAATGGTATCAGTAAACAAAGCAAGGTATATGGTGGAGGCTGAATAATAAAAGAGGGCAGGATGACACCTCCTGCCATGCAGGTAAGATGAGACAAGAACAAGGATCACTCTGCTGAGAGAAGTGACAGTTGCCGAGGGCTTAATAACCCTGATTCTGTTTGAGTTATATCATCTTCGGTGGTTTTTGGTTTTTTTCTTTTCATCTTTCTTTTGCTTCTTTTTCTACACCACCTGCCTTTAATTCTACTCACCCATTACTAGCCCCCATTGCAGTCAAATCTAAAATCTCCATCAGCCCTCCCAGTGCTTTGCTGCTCCTCAGTGTCAAGATTATATATTTGGAAAGCACTTTCAAAAGCAGGTGGATGAGGAGCACCGTGCGTGGTTTGATGTTGGTCCTCTTGGCTGTGCTCGGACCCTCCATGAGACTGGTCCTATGTCAGAGGCCAAGTCCACCGGGCATCCTTTTGCGTCCTCCCAGCCCAACTTGCTAACTCTTGGTACAAACACCCACCAGGTGGAGGAAAGGGACAGAACTCAAGTCATAAAATGCTAAATTACCAAATGTGTACCTATTTCAGAAAGAACAGCCTTCTTGCATGTGAAGAGATTTTTAAAAGCTTACTAGCAACCAGCGTGGCTTCCTCCTCAAGCCTGTCAGCACATTCTCTTGGCTACCATTAACATGCTAAATTCCCCCAATGACCAGTGAAGGCACTTTCCAAACACTCTTCCTGTCTCAGGTAATTCTTTGATAGCAATTATGTACCCACATTTTTTCCAGAACATTAATCAACTTAATCGAACTCAAAACACCAAGAATTACTGGTGCATTTCCACTTTCCGGGTAGGGTTTAGTTCCAGCAGCCCCCTTTCTTCACAGTCTTGTGGAAATAAATTGGCTGAATATGCCATTGAGTTTCATCCACTCTATTAGAAAAAAATACATGCATCTAAGTTCCCTGAAGCCTATTTCCACTAGAGGTCACTAGGTCCACTAGTGTCAGTGATTGCTTTTGTTTCCTTCATCAACTGCTTTGTCTCACAGATGTCAAATTCAGAATTTTAAGACTGGTGATTCCTGTTATGCTTCCCCACTTTTAACCACTGAGGCTGGCAGGTCCCCGGTCATCAGGAGCATTGTCCATCCTTTAAGCCCTCCAGCCAGCATCCCACCAGAACAGCAGGCTGCCCCTCCTGTGTTCTTCACCTACTAACTTGTACCACATCACCCTTCTTGCATTTCTCTGTTTGTATGTGGTGTGGAGCAGACAGGTGGCACAATAACAAGAATTGGTTTTTAAAGGGTTGTTTAGAGCGATTCACTTTTTTGTGTTTGCTACTCAATCCTAAGGTAAGCATGTCCCTGTGTGGAATTCCTTCTCCCTCTCCCTTCCTTTAAAAGCCAGTTCTAGTTTATAGCTCCTGAACTGACCTTCAGTGATTCTAGAATGTTCTTAGTGATTACTTCTTTCTAAAAAGGCAAGTAATTGCCCTTTGGCATTATACTCTGTCCTTACAGAAAACTATCTGTTCGTACAACCTCAAGTCTAATCTCTACATTAAGGAATCCCAAATCTGTGTTTTCAACCTTGACATCTCTCCTTCAGCTTCCAGTCATGCTGGTTGATATTCATCATCTCAAACCCTAAATTATCATCTTTCCTCCAGTTGTATTGTCCTTTTCCTGGATCTCCAGTTTGAAACCTGGAAGTCACTGTTAACCCCCTTTCTCTTTTTCTCTCCTTTGATTTTTCTACCCGCTGTTCTTTACCCCACCAATCTATAGAGTTCAACCTTTGTTCCTACAAGAACTTTAAACAGACAAAGATAGGTATCAGGCTCACCTCTCACTTCTCTCTTCCCAGTGAAACATCCTAGCATCCTCTGGTTGTCTCCATGACAGAGAAGGAGCCTATGGCAGGGGAAGGTTACAGCATCTCACATTTCCAGTGTCAGGTCTGGAAACTGAATTTTGTCATACATGAGCAATGCTATCCAAATGCAAGACTCAGAAGTCTAAGTTAGAATGCTGACTTGTTGACTTCCAATGAAAATTATAACTCATGTTGATAAGAATTCTTTTGTGCTCCCGTCTGTTCTATTTATATTTATCCAGTCTTTCTCTAGACAAGGAATATTATTATTGATTATGTTTCTTTCTCCTCTATTATAATCACATTCCACTCTACCTTCCTGAGATTATACTTAACTCACCTGTGAAGTCATCAGGTACAGATAGTATCTTGGGTTACCCAGTAACTGACTAATTCCACTCATAGAAGTGGATTTTTGTTTGTCTGTTTAATCCTCTAAGGGCAATCCTGTCTCCAGCGTCTGGGAGGATGCCTCATTATAGCTCCCATACGGCCTTCATTCTTAACATTCTGGTTCCCCTCCCGTGGGATCGTCCTAATTTATGATTGGAATTTACCATTGCTCAGTACTTGAAGTAATTACTTGGAACAATTGCTGATACTAGTCAGATACTCTGTTTCTAAAATTTCTTTTCAGTAGTAACATCACGTTCTTGGCAACCTTTATCCTGTGATACATCAAAATCCTCAGGTTAGAACAAGACTTGTAATTAGTTAACTTGAAAAAAATTTAAGTGTGTCACATTTTAAACGATGGCAATAATATTCTGGTCGTTAGGCCCTCTTCCAGAATCTCCATACCTTTTAAAAATCATGATTCTACCCAATGTGTCAGTATCATCCCCAGCTTTGTAGAATCTGAAAATTTGGTAAGCAAACCTCCAGTCATTCGTTCCACTCTGCAGTCCACGGCCTCTTTTTCCACTAGTTACTCCAAAACGCTGCTTGTCCTTATACTTTGCTCTGAAACTGTGACTTCTCACTCAGAATTCTCTTCATGTTCCCAAATGTGCTTTTAAGTTTTGTCTTTTCATTTCAAGTCCTTTCTGGACTACCTTCACTAACGATTTCTTCTATGACCTTGGCCTTCCTCCCAAAAGACTTCAGGGGAGCCCTATGTGCTCACTCTCTTCTCCCATTTCCAGCTCCACCTTTCCCACCATGTCCACCCATAATTGAGCCACTAACCCAGTTTAAGAAATTAGATAACATTAAAATCCCTGTATGTTTCTCTCTAATCCAATTCTCCCCCCTTTCCTCCCAAAGTAACCAGTACCCTGACTATGGTATATTACCAATGCATGTTTTTACATATATGTGGCTCAAAAAGTATTTATAACATTGAACTTTGTTTTAAAATTTTATATAAATGGTGTCATGAGGCTCAATATGTTTCTGAGGTCTATTTGTGTTGGTAGATGTAATTTTAATTCATTTATTTTTGGAAGGATAAAGTGTCCCATTATATGATTACCCCACAGTCTGTTCACCCATTCCTCTCTTAATGGACATTTACTACTTAAACAGTGTTACAGTGAGCGTTCTTTTAGTTAGCACTTTGGGCAAATGTGCTAGTATTTCTAGTGTACACAAGTAAGAGTGAAACAACTGGTTTGGGGGTTTTATATACTTTCAGCTTTTTGATATACCACCAAATTGCTTCCCAGTGTGGACGCACTGATTTACATTCCATCTGCTATGTGTGAGAGTCCCGCTGGCTTTACCTATCCTCACCGATGCTTGCTTTTATCAGGTTGTTAAAGTTCTTGTCAATTTAAGTAAAGCAAGTCTGACTGTTATTTAAATATGTCTCCCTGCATTATTAGGGAGGCTGACACAGACCATTCTTTTTCATATGTTTACTTGCTACTTGCCATTTGGGTTTCCTCTTCAGTAAAAGTATCTGTTTATGGCTTGTGGTTGTTTTCTTTTTTCTTTCTACTTTTCCTATTGACGTTAAAAAATTTTTTTTATTAATTTGAAGGAGTTCTTTGTATATTCTTGCATCAATCCTTTGTCACTTATGCATGTTACCCACCTCTTATTCCAGATGTAGCTTCCCTTTCATCACCAAATTCTTGGTTATCTAGTAGGACACGTCTCCCCAAATCTCTTTAAAATTGCTTTTATTTATTTTTGTTCATTAACAACATTGTCTTTAGCTTCTCAAGTTTCATGAGCAATACTGTCAATTTGAAATTTTATTATATCAATAGATTAATCTGAAGAAAACCAATGTCTTTATGTTCCTTTTTTTATTTGTAGACATTGTATATATTTTCATTATTTAGATCTTAAATATCTCTCAATAAAGTTTTATTAATTTTTTCTTAAGGATATTAAGAATCTTGTACATCATTTTTTAAACTTTTAAATATTTTATACTTTTTAGCTAAGATTATAAATGGCATCTCTTTTTTAAGTTTCAAGTATTTTCCAACTTTTTTTTTCAGGTGATCATAACAGAAATGACTCTTCTATTGTGCTCTTAAATCTAGTAAACTAACTCAGCTCTCTTATTAATCCTAATATATTGCCTATAAATTTTTTTCACATATTCAACAAATATTTCTTAGGCATTTACTATATGCCAGATACTGTATCATATCCTGGGGATAGAGGAGTAAGCAAAATAGATTTTTGAAAAAACTCTGCCATCATCCATTTAATTGGGTGAGAAAGAAAAAATAAACCAGGAAAATATGTAATATATTAGAAGAAGATAAATAAGTGCTGTGTAGAAAAATAAAGCAGAGGATGAAGACAGGG